TATTTTAATGCTATATTGTTACTAAAAGTTTTATTTTCCTGTGGATTTCGGTCATTTGCGTTTTATATCCTTTATATATATCGCTATAAAATGGGTAGGTTAAGGTTTGGGGGTAGGTTAAGGGGTCTAAAAATCTAAATTGCGTATTAATAAAATGATAAAAATGCATATTCGCTATAAATTGGGTAGGTTTAGGTTTGGGGGCAGGTTAAGGGGTCTAAAAATCGAAATCGCTTATTAATAAAATGATAAAAATGCATTGATATGAATATCTAAATGATATAAAAGATACGTAAATATTTTTACGTTTTTTAGCTAAAAATACGTAGCGATTTGTACGTTTTAAACGTTGAAATACGTCTAAATTGTACGTTTTAGCATGACTAAAAACGTACAAAAGTGTACGTTTTGTGCTTGTAAATGTTACGTATTAATACCTACGTATAAACATGAGACCAGGCTGTGAAGTCAGTATGGGTGCATCATAATTATATCAAATGTAACTACATTCCTTTTAGTCCTTTTTTTGTCGTGTGTGTGTGTGTGTGTGTGTGTGTGTGTGTGTGTGCGCGCGTTTAACCATGACTAGTTTGTGAAAGTTTATGTTATGGTAAAACTGTAAAACATCAAAAAGATACTAAGTCATAATTATGAGATAAATGTCAAAATTATGAGATACTAAGTCATAATCATGTAATATAGTTATGTAAAGTAATAAATATGACATAAAGAGTTTGTCAGTAAAACAGATTTTATCTCGTAATTACAACGTTTGAATTTTATGTCTTTTTAGGTCAGTCACGACTTTTTATCTTATAATTACAGTTTGACTTAGTATCTCAAATTTTCAACTTTTATGTTATATAATTATGATTTATGAACAACTTGTTACAGGCTAGTGCAATTTGTCCAATAACAAATAAAATAATTAACAAGTAAAATTACCAGTTTTTAGAGAATGTCTTTGTGTTTTTGGGACAATCAGTAAGCAAATGAGTTCTAATTGATGTAAAGGGCCATTCCTGATTGATTAGACTGCAGTTTGGCAATAAATCAGTCTGTAGAATAAAGGCAGAACAAAACAAAATGAGTAGCCTGTTTTTGCATCGCAATAAAGTTTTAGTGAGACTCTGCAAAATAAGTAATCTGGTGAGATGTTAATGAGCTGTTTTGGACTTCAAATGTGGATATTGATGTTCAAGTTGGAGAGACTCTCTCTAAACACATTATGACTCCGGAATTACTTCTGACATGATGCTGTGCTTTCAGGTCAATGTCAAATCTAAAATATGAAATCTTTGTTGCACTGGATGCCTTTTAAAGGGGTCATATGATGCAATAAAAAAAATGTCTTTCACTTTGGAGTGTTACAAGCTCTTGGTGCATAAAGAAGAT